TGGGGACAAGCTGGAGAGGAGGGGATACCTGAATGTGAGCAGTGAGCGTTGGTCCTGGATTACAAAGGGGGCTCTGACTCCGCTTTCTTTCTCCACACCCCTAAGTCTGCAAAACCTGCATCGTGCGCTACCTGGAGACCAACAAGTACTGCCCCATGTGTGATGTGCAGGTCCATAAAACCAGACCGCTGCTGAGCATCAGGTGGGCCTGGCGCTGTCCCTCCTGCCACGCCAATCCTGTGGGGCAGCTGCCTTCTGTCCTCAGGCGTCCCTGCTTCTGACGACCAAGGTGGCAGAGGGGAGAAGCACAGGGCGTCAACCCAGGGCCCTGCCCCTCCCCTTGTTCTGTATCCAGCTTGTCTAGGCTGAGAAATGCCAGAGGGGTAAAGACCACACCTCTAGGGACCCTGATAGCTGGGCCCTGGATCAAGGAAGGGAGGTGGGAGTAGGGATTCCTGGCTGGGGAGAGGAGGGTGAAGTGGTCGCCCACAGGACTCCGTACGTTTTTTCCAGATCTGACAAGACCCTCCAAGACATCGTCTATAAACTGGTCCCTGGGCTTTTTAAAGGTATCTGCACACCCTTTGTCTGCCCTGCTGCCCCCCACTTCCCTACCTGGTGCTCCCATCCTCACCCTGCCTCCCTCTTCCAGATGAGATGAAACGGCGGCGGGACTTCTACGCAGCGTACCCCCTGACTGAAGGTGAGTGTGTGCACGTGTCCGTTCGCGGGAGCGTGTGGTGCTGCCGCCGGCACGCGGGCTGTCTCTCTTGCACAGACCGCCACACCACCGTCCCAGCCTGGAGGATGGCTGGACTCACCCCGATGAACGCTGAGGTCCCGGGGTCCTTGGAGGGGCTCTTTTTGCCCTCTTAGGCCACCCCCTCAGAGCTCTCTTCTTCTGCAGTCCCCAATGGCTCCAATGAGGACCGCGGCGAGGTCCTGGAGCAGGAGAAGGGGGCTCTGAGCGACAACGAGATCGTCAGCCTCTCCATCGAGTTCTACGAAGGTGTCAGGCAAGTGTGACCCACGCTGGTCTTCTGGGGTTCTAGGGTGGGTCGCCCCTTTCTCCCACCCTGACCCCTCCCCCTAGGAAGAGAAAGGACCCTTGGGAGGGCCTTCTGGATGTGTGCATTAGGGGATTAGGGGATCCTGCCGGTTCCGGGGTCTCCCTAGCTTCATTCTTTGTCCTTCCCCCAGGGACCGGGAGGAAAAGAAGGGTCCTCTGGAGAATGGGGATGGGGACAAGGAGAAGGTGAGTGCTAGGGGCCTGCTTAGGAGTGGGACGTGGGCTGGGAGAGAGTGCCTGGAACGGACCCCAGCCCTTGGGTGCCTCTTCCCCAGCAGACAGGGGTGCGATTCCTGCAATGCCCAGCAGCCATGACCGTCATGCATCTCGCCAAGTTTCTTCGCAACAAGATGGATGTGCCCAGCAAGTACAAGGTGAGTCCCTGGGCCTTCAGAAACTGAGTGTCTGTGTGTGTGTGACAATCTGTGCATCTCAGCCACTGTTCTGAACTGGCTGTGTGATTGAGCTCGAAGAGAAGAGTAATTGAAACCAAGATTAGGGTGGGGCAGTCATTATCTGTTGAAGCCAGTGTTCCAGGGTGCTGGGACAAAGATGACGAGTAGTGTGTGTGCATGTCTGTGTGCACACATGCATACTTGCACGTTCAGAACTGTGGCAGAGGTACAGGTGCAAAAATATAAGGTCTTGTCTGGGGCAGCTGGCTGAAGGAAGGCCGGTCTGGACTTCCAACGGCGCTCTTGGACAGTGCTTCTCAAATGCGAATGTGTCAGTGATTCTCTAAGATCTTGATAATGCGAATGCGAATGTGTCAGTGATCTCTAAGATCTCTAAGAGTAGATTCTGATTCAGTAGGTTCTGCAGTTCTAGCAAGCTCCCAGGTGCTGCCAGTACTCCTAGTCTAAATACCACACTTTGGGTATCAAGGCTCTAGGACAGTGGATCCCAAACTTTGCTGCAGGTCAGAATCAGGTGGGGAGCTTTATTTAAAACTCAACTTACGTCATACCAATTAAATCAGAATCTCTGGTGAGATCCAAGCACTGGTATTTCTTTTAAAGCTCCTTGGGTCATTCCACTGCAGCCTGGGTGAGAGCCACCTTTCTCTGTGAGATCTTTCTCAGCAGGGCTTTTTCTTTGCCCCCATTATCTCTGCCCAAGATAAAAGGGGACCCAGACAACTGTGTGGATGGCTGCAGGCAGGGATTGTTAACAATCTGGAGACTTTCTCCGGATCCTTTCCCATCTGGTGGTTGGGAATTCTGTTGGGTCAAGTCTGGTAGCGAAGTCAAACCCACCATGAAACCCCAGAGTATCTCAGGGAACACCTGCTAACCCTTCCTCCCCAGTGTCCCGTCTCCTACCCCTGGCTTAGAGCCTCATTGCCAAATGGCTGGAGCCTTGAACCTGACCAGGGTCAAAGTGTCCTCCGTGTCCTCCTCTAGGTGGAGGTTCTGTATGAGGATGAGCCACTGAAGGAATACTACACCCTCATGGATATCGCCTACATCTATCCCTGGCGGCGGGTGAGCTGGGCAGGATGGCGCAGGGCAAGGGCAATGCCGGGAGGGGAACCCTGCAGGGTCTGGCATCGGTCTATGGCCACAGAGACCACACAGTGACCAGTAATCACAGTTTGTGCCTTGTCCCGAGAGCTGGGTGTATCCAGGGTGGCCTGCCACACCACACCAGCCTCCAAGCCATCCTTTGATGATGACCTGCCATACTCTGAAGTATAAAAGGATCCTTTGGCAGATGACATGCCCCAATTTGGGTCAGAAAGTAGGGTCGGGTGGCTACAGAGGAGCAAATGTTGCTCCCTGCTTTTCAACCTCCCTCTCCTCTCCAGCCTGTGGCCTTGCGTGTTCTTTCTGCCTCTCTGGGGCTTTGTGTGCTCCTGTATCTCTGGCCTTGCTTGGTCCCTCAGCTTTGCCTATCCCCTCATCTCCAAGGCCTGGACCCCTTTCTTCCATTGGGGCACTCTGGGGTGAACGTCAGCTTGCTGCCTGACCAGCCTCTTTCCCCTGACCCCCTCCCCTTCCCTGCCTCTCTCTGCCCCCTCTCCCTGCAGAATGGGCCTCTTCCCCTCAAGTATCGGGTCCAGCCAGCCTGCAGGCGGCTCACCTTGCCTACAGCACCCACCCCCTCGGAGGGTACCAACACCAGCGGGGCATCCGAGTGTGAGTCCGTCAGCGACAAGGCTCCCAGCCCTGCTACCCTGCCAGCCACCTCCTCCTCCCTGCCCAGCCCAGCCACCCCCTGCCATGGCTCCCCCAGCTCCCATGGGCCCCCGGCCACCCACCCTACCTCCCCCACTCCCCCTGCCACAGCCGGTGGGGCCACCGCAGCTGCGAACGGGGGTACCTCGAACTGCCTGCAGACACCATCTTCCACCAGCAGGGGGCGCAAGATGACTGTCAACGGAGCTCCTGTGCCCCCCTTAACTTGAGGAGAGACCCTCTCTGTCCTCCAGCCATGCCTCTCCATCCTCCACTTTTTCTGGGCCCCCTTTCCACCTCTGACTTTCCCCAGCTCCTCCCGCCTTAGGGGTGGGGGGTGGGTTTTATAAATAAATCTATATATATATGTACATAGGAAAAACCAAATATACATACTTATTTTCTATGGACCAACCAGATTAATTTAAATGCCACAGGAAACAAACTTTATGTGTGTGTGTATGTGTGGGGGGTGGAATGTTCATTTTTAGGGGGTCTTGTGTCATTTGCCCTGCTCTCATTTTGGGGGTGCCTGGAGGTGGGCTAGAGGGGCCACCTGAGGCTCAGTAAAGCTCTGCTCCATCCTCCTCCTGTTCCCCAGGGCAGATGGGGTGTTCAGGGAGCACTCCCAGTCCCCAGAGCTTTAGACATAACTCCAGCTGGCTGCATGTGGGGCCTCCCCTCTCTTCCCCCCATCTTGGCTGCTGTCCTGCCTCCACTGGTGCCCCTACCCCCACCCCCCATTGTTGAATGTCCAGAGAATCGCTAAGACAGTGCCTTTTACAAATGCAGTTTATCCCCTGGTTCTGAGGAGCGAGTGGGTGGTAGAGATGGCATCTCCCTTACCTCCTCCTCTTGCAGTGGAAACTTTGTGCAAAGAATAGATAGTTCTGCCTCCCCCCCCCCCCCCCGCCCCATGTGTGTGGCCTTTGCATCATTTATCTTGTGGAGGAGAAGATTCAGGCCACGGGAGGCCTCAGCCCTTGAAATTCCACTGTGGCTTTAGCAATGTGAACCACTTCACCGGGTCCTGCCCCTGCCCCCAGCTGGGAGCCTTGACTGGCAAGGCTAGCACTCCTGGGGGCCTGGGGTGCAGTGGAGAGGTGGAGGGGGGTTCATCTCAGACAAGCACAGACCCCAGATTGTGCCAAAGGCCATCAGCCCTGCAGTCCCCTCCCTGCCCCCAGCTGAGGCTAAGTCAGGACAGACTAAAAGCACAAGATGGAAACCTGTAAGCTCTGACCTTGGCTCCATCCTGAGAGGTCAGTGGACTGCCCCCTGAAGGGCAGACCCCAGCAGATCCCTGCACACTTGTTTTTCCTCCAATGTACATAGGATCAGCTTAGGGAGGAGGTGAGGAGGCAAGACTCCCTTGGAACCTAGGTGTTTGGGGTCAGGACCCTGCCCCCCTCCCCATCAGGTTTGTCTGTGTTTGCACCTTGTCTTGTGTCTGAGGTGACTGTACCCTCCTCCTGCCCTGGGACATTTGTATCTCCTGGCTTTGTAATAAATGCTGCATACTCTCCGGAACCTGTAGTTCTTTGGGGGATAGGGGACAGGGAAAGGGTGGGCGGGTCCTTTGGCCTCCTCCTTGTGTCTCTTGTCTCTGGGCTAAGCCAGCCTTGGGAGGCCCCATATGGAATGAATGTGAACTGCCCCCCTCCCTGTGGCCAGTCAGGTGCCCCAACCCAGGTTAAGATCCAGAGCGGTGGGACACCATGTGCCTCACACCAATGACCACAAGAGCACCATGCTGGGGTGGGCATAGTGTTTAATGCCATCTTCACTGACAGGCAATGAAACTGGGGGCATGTTCCTGGCTGCCCGAGACTCCTCAGGTATTGGGAGCAAGCCCTTCACAAGCCAGCAGTGTGTACTGGGATCCCTGGGTGGTCCCTTCTTGGGCTCAGCACTCCCATCTCCTTCCCCACAAATGGGGTACCTGTCAGAGGCCTGGGGCTGGGCAGGAGCCAGCCTCTCAGAGCGGGGAGCCCAGTTCTGCCTTCTGCACCCGCTCACTCCTGTGGGTACCATCGCAGTACGGAGGCTTCTGGGTGGCCTTGCAGGTACAGAGGGCCATTACTCGGGTCTCCTGGGCCTTGAACTTGAGTGGGGAGAGGCCAGTGCGTTGGAAGAAGTGGGAGCCATCACAGAAGGGCTGGTGAGGGAAAGAGAGAAGTTAGAGGCCCAACCCCACCTTCTGAGGTAGGACAGGTCTAGAATAGGGTTCAGGCTTCTAAGGGAAACTGCCTGGATCCCCTAGTTTACTCTCATCTGCAGTGTGAGAGTGAGAGGAGAGCTGTCCCAAGTAAAAGAAATAAATAGTGGTTCTTACACACTTTGCTGGCAGAGAGTGTTCAGTAAGGAGTCTACAGCATTCGTCTCGGGGACCCAGAAGACCAGGATACAAGGGCAGAATTTTCAAGGTGAAATGGGACTTTCAGTATCAGCAATGTTTACATGAATAGATTTTTTTTTTTTAATGTCTCTGAGTCTCCAGTGGCTCATGAAATTTACTTCCTTCCACATATTCTCAGGGTAAGACCTCTGCGTGGGAGAGAGCCTGCATGCATCACAGTGCTCTGAGACTGGGCTATCGCTTTTGTTTGGCCCCAGGAAACAAGTGGGCATGTTATAGGGAGTGGATGTCACAGGGAGGAAGGGTGAACCGTTGCCTGGTGCAGGCGAATATTCCCCATCCTTCCCAGAAGCTGTTCAAGCAGAGACAGGGTAATGAAAACAGGCCTGCCTTGACTTGCTAGTTAGCAGCAGAGCTGAGCCAAGCAAGGCCTCTTGACCCTGAGGTCAGGGGAGGGGAGGGGAGGAGGCGACCTGAGGGAAGTATACAAATAAAACACAGCAACCTGTCCCAGAGGGCAAAAGGCAGGGAGGCAGAGTGCCAGCCTGCGCCAGGCATGTGGCTGGCGTTCCCTCAGCACTGTTCTACCCTCGGGAGGACATGCTCCAAAGTCAAGTCAGTGGCAAAGTAGGACTTGGGACCCAGGGCGCTGACACCACACCACACCCACACCACTTAGAGGCACACAGTTGAGAGCCCAGCTGAGGAAGGAAAGGGGCCCTGGAGGCCAAGTGTATGGGTCAGGTTCCTGCTGGAAAGAAGGCTCCTGGGGCGGGAGGGAGTGGGAGGTGGGAGCAGGCAGTGCCCGGCAACCAGGGAAGCCATGTCAGCTGAGAAAGGGAGGGTCTGTGGGAGAAGACGCAGGCGAGGGGCACTTGGAACCGGAGAGCCTGCAGTCTTCCAATGCTGGGGTCTAAGGCCTGGGAACCTTTGGCTCAGATGCTTCCTAGAAGGAGGGACAGAAGAAGGGAGAAAGACAACCCAGCTTCTCAGGGCTCAGAGCAGAGTCCAGGCCGGGGCTCCAAGGGGGGCACACGGGTAGAGGAGGCCAGAACCCTGGGCTCCAGCCACCTGGCTGTGGGGCTGAGTCTCTCTGTCTCTCTGGCCTCATCTCAAATGGTGGATACAGAAAAAAGGGAGCTCAGGGATGTGGGTGGCATTGGCTTGAGGGCATGCTTTCGCCCCCAACCTCCCCTGTACTTCAGGTATGTGTGGGAAAAGAGGAAGGTCTCCGCAACCAGGGGTGCCCTATGGTAATGAGAGGCGGGTAGGGATCTCTCACCTGCTTCTTGCTGCGCCCACACACACACCATCTGTAGGTTTTCCCAGCTACCAACTCCACCTTGATGGGCGCTTTCAGGGCCACCACAGACTTGGCTGGGGTTTTAGGGAACCATCGGCTCTGTGGCAAGGGAAGACGAAGGGCTTGGGGTCAGCCCATGTCCTGGAAGCAACTTCCTGCCTATGGACTTGTCCAGGTTCCCAGTGGCTCTGGCTTATGGCAGGCTTCCTCTGCAGGAGGCTGATTTGATGCCACTCCACAAAGACATTCCCCCAGGACAGGACCCTGAGCTCCAGACAGGGAAGAGATTTCAAGCCCGTCCAGGCATTCTAGTTTCTGGGGCGCCCAGCTGCTTTCCCCAGGTGGGAGTCCAGGATCCTGGCAGCCTGGGGCTGTGTTTGTCAGGCACTGCCATTCCCAGCGGGGAAGCCTGGCTCCCTGCCCTGTGCCCCCTGGTCACTCTACCTCCCATCGGGGAGCCATCGGGGAAGGGAGCTGGATAGAGGCAGGGCATTCTGAGGTTGGAGTGGGGAAGCAGAGCTGACCGTTTCTCGTTTCTTCTCTGGTCTCTACCTTTGGGGGTCTCTGGGCCGGGGGGACTTGGGGGAAGGGAAGGGGAAAGGGGTACTTACCAGCCAGGAGGAGAGGTCGCGCCTCTGGCTCAGCCTCTGAAAGGTACGCAGGCATGACTAGCCAGGCGGTTTGGAAGCAGAGGGGGAAAAAAAATCAGTGGAAAGCGTCGGAATTCCAGAGGGAAGTCATCTGGGAGGGAAGAGACGCCAGGGATTCGGGGCGTAGGAGAAAGCAGAGGGTAAGAAAAAGAGGGTCACAGACAGGAAGTGGAGTTGCTGGGAGGTGCTGGCTGCATCCACCGCGGCGCGGCCAGGGAGGGCCGCACGGCAGCGGGCGAGGCGGGACTCGGGGACGCTCAGCGGGGGACGGACGGGGCTGGGGCGCGGGGCCGAGGTGCTCACCCAGGCCGCAGGCCGCACGGACGCCCCCACGCCACTCATGCCGGGCTCCGCCGCCGCGCCCCGCCGGCTCCGCCCCGCGCCCGGGTCACCTCCCGCTCCCGCCCAACGGGCCGGCCCAGCCTGCCGCGGCCCGGAAGACGCCCCGGGGCTCCGCGCGGTGGGGGCCGTGGCCTGCGCGGTCGGCCGGCCCCGGGGGGGGGGGGGGAGGGGAGGGGGAGGGCTGCGCGGGGGCGTCCCGGCCGCTGCTCCCGTAGCCTCGCCGCCCCGCGTGGGCGGGGACCTCCCGGGAGCCGGCGGCTCCACGTCCTCGCCCGGGGGCTCGCGTTGTGAACGGATTCCCGCCTGGCCCCTCCTTGTGGGTGGCACCGGTATCGGAGTCTTCATCAGGAACCTGGGGCGCTTGCGCTTACCGGTCTGTGAACTATTACGAGTGCTTCTAGAAATATGACAGACCACCAGCCCCAGCCCCTCCCCAGGCTCCCACAGTTGGCACTCCCCTCCCTTCCCCTTCAGTAAAGCCAGACAAAGCAGGGGTCTTTGGATTTTTTTTTTTTTTGTAAAACATTCTTTTATTAAAAGAACAAGTGCTGTTTACGAACTGCCCTTCGTACAAATAACATCCGTTATACAAAGATACAAGATCCGGGTTATGCACAATTCCAGGCTTGGAAGTGAAAGGAGGGGGGCATTGCCTTTTGGGCTGAGGATATAAAGGAGGTTCTAGAAAGAATGTAAAAGGAGCCCCTGGGTTTGCAAACTCTGGCTTCCCCTCCCTGCTCCCCTAGGAAGGGTCTGCTACATTGAGACAGGCTGGGATGGCTAGGAGGGAACAGGGCTGGGAGTCAGGATTTGGGTCTCCAGTCCTGCCACCTGAGTCCCAAGTTGGGCTGGAGGAAGTGAACAAAGGGCAATGAAGGCACCCCTCAGTCCCCAACTTATCAGTAGATCAAGTCAAAGTGGTTGGAAGCTAGACACACTTTGAATCCGGATTGATGTGACTGGAGGGAGCCAGGGTATTGTGCCCCACTTCCTCCAAATTCCCCACCAAAGTCACCTTAATCCCTCTAGGCACCTCTCCCCGGGGAAAAATAAATTGAGATAAAGGACAATAGGGAGCAAGCTGCCTACTCCTAACTTTGGCCCACTGCACACACCAAGAAGATGCTGGAAGTTGGCCAAGGGAGCCTGTGCCTTTGAAAAGTTGTCTGCATTTCCAGTTTGGATGAAAGGAAAATGTGGAGGTTACCCTTTCTCAGAGCTCACCCCTGGCTCTGTATCCCCTCACTCGTCCAGGCCCTTCCCTGGAACTCAGTATAGGCATGGGTGGGGAGCTCTCGACCTCAAGGTTAGAGCACCAGGAGGCAGTGGGAGACCCAGGAGCCTGAGGGGAAAGACACACACAAATAGGAAAAAACTTAAAAAAAAAAAAAAAAAAGCAATCTTTAAAGTGTCATTGTCTACGGAGAGGATCCATCAGCTCTGAGCTAAGACTATCAGTGCTACATAGACACCCTCCCACCCCAGGGCCAAGCCCAGCCCCCCCCCCATACACAGGGACAGACAGACAGCCACATGGAGGTGGTGCAGTGGGGGGCGAGAGAGCCCAGGACCAGGAGGCCAGGGTCCTGAGGGCTGGTCCTGGCTCTGCCCCTAGCCCCTGCCCCTCCTAGGCTTGGAGCTATCACCTGTGAAGCAAGGAACCGGTTTCCAACCACCCCTAAAGACAAGTCCCTTCCAGCTCTGATATTCATGCACCAGTCGTGACCTCAAAGCCAGACAGGGGTTCTGCATGCACACCCCTCACACCTCCACGCTGAGCGTGCTTACACACGAAGCTCCTCTCATGCATTTTCAGACTCCATTTCCGTCCTGCAAACCACATCCTTTCTCTCTGCTAGGCAGAGAGACCTACAAATCTGTATTTTTTCCCATTCCCCATCCGAATTCGTCCTTGAAAAAAAAGGAACAGGGGATGGGAAAGGAGGGTGAGGTCAGTAATAGCCATTCCCCTGCATTGGGATCCAGAAGATCTCCAGAACTTTCCTATTATAAAGCTCCCTCTGAGGAAGGAAATGCACTACTTCTCTCACGCCCTGCCCCCTGGCAGAAATAGAGGGACAGCAGCGATTCATACCCAGCCTGGGTCCCTTCTAATCTAACTTAACCTACCTGCTGCTGCACCCCAGCCTGGGGAAAGCTGAAAAAAACATAGGCTCTTGGAGATGAGAACCCCAGGCTCTCGGGTGCTGGGAGGGAGGGGGAGGTCTTGGTTCCAGTGCACTAAATCCTAGGGACCCCTCGCTCTCTGCCACAGCAACCTTGGAGTGGACTGGCTTCCCTCAGCATCCAGAACAGAAGTTGACTTCAGCTCCTAGTGGGTGTGAGTGTGAATGAGCAATTCTTCTAAGAATCTCTGAAGGTTATTTTTCTTTTCAGTGGTTTGGGGGCAGGGAATTAGAGAGCTTAACAGATGAAGATGAATAAAATGCTGAATCCTATCGTTTCTTTCTAATTGATATTTAGCCTTAATAAAAAGTGAGTATTTCTGAGGTCATCACAACTGCCTTCCCCCCACCCCCAAGCCCTTGCAAGTGCCTAAGAAATTGCCTCTGAAGGATTCCCACCCACCCCCTCCTTTATCAGCTCCCTAACATCTTACAAAGTCTTATCAACAGGAATATTAATATTATTTTCAGTATCAGAAAAAAACCAGTTGAGCAGCACAGGCAAAAATATATCTGCACTACGTTTCTGTCGTTGCCAAAAATATACACATCTTCTTTTCTTTATTTAAAAAAAAACCAACAATAACAAAAACCCAAACAGAAACACACACAAAAAATCCACACATGCAAAGACTGACGAGACATGAGCATCAGGGAAAGCTGGAAACGCCTTCTCCCGGCTCCAACCCCAGTGCAACTGAAACAGAGACACAGGCTTCCCCCCACCACTCTCCTGGCTGCCCTACTGGCCCCTCGGCCTTTGCCACCAAAGGCTCTGAGCAGGTGGGGGCTCTTTTAGGTGAGAACTGCCCCCTCCACCCTGGGGAAATAGCTGGTGGGGGAAGGGATGGCTGTCAGGTCAGCTCAAGTGAAGGCTCCTGGCTCCCATGGTTGGTCGGGGCGGGAGTAGGGTGCCGGGAAGCAAGCTGGCTAATCCTGGGAAGGAGGTTTTCTCCGCTGAAGGATGTGGCACTTTACCCCCCACCCCTGCCCCATCCCCCAGATCCTTGGGACTCCCCCTGTGCCAGTGAGGCAGGACCAGCTATCAGTGGGGGAAGGAGAGCTCTGAAGGGGGCAGTGAGGCCAAGTGGGGTCTGGGGGTTGGGAAGGCAGGATATTACCCTGATTCAAAGCCCCCAGCCCCCATTACTCTCCAATAGTGGAGTACTGTTCTGGTTTTTGTTAACCATTCACGCCCCAGAAAGGGACCAAAGTTGGTGAGGTGGGGAGGGTGCAAACAAAAGTTGGGAGCCCCCTTCTGGTGCTGCCTCATCTGAGCACTGCTCCTATCCCTGCCCTCGGCGGCCCCAGGCCCAGGGGGAGTCAGTCAGACAGACAGACAGACAGACAGACATACATACACACACACACACACACACACACACACGGACACACAGGCACACACGCTCTCTGAGTCAGGCAGCTCCATCTTCCCACCCTCCGCACTCCTAAATCCAATAGTGCAAACAAGGGGCAGGGCCCCAGGGGGCTGGGCCTCCTCCCCCTGCGCTCCCCCAGCCAGTCACCTGGGGGCTCGCCACAGGTGGGGAGGCTCCCGCTAAATCTGAGGCCCTGCTGCCCCTTCCTCAGCTCCCTAGTCTGTGGGCTTTTACAAGCTCAGCTTGTAACCATTGTTGGGGGGGCGGGGGAGGGGTACCAGGGAGACACAGTCCCAGGGATCTCTTCTGCCATCTGCCCAAGCTAGGAAGAAACTGCAGGTAAAGCAGGGCCACCCCTTCTTTCCTAAGAGATTTCCGTGCACGAACAGGCCCAAGCCTGTCCCCCTACCTCTCCCCACTCAAGTGCTGATCCATTTTCTGTGGAGGGTCCAACCAACCCCCCACTTATGCCATAGCCCACTTTGCTCTTGGAGGACCTCAAAGCATTACTGAGAGTGGGGGCTCCTAGGTGGGCTGGAAGCCTGTCCTCCCTCTGAGCCCCTCACAAAGGGGTCAGTGCGGAGGGAGGGGGGCCCAGTGGAAGGGGCACCCTTCTCTGGCTCAGTCCTCGGCACCAGGTGCACCCTGCACTCCCCAGGCCTCAGCACACGATCTGGGCTGGGGCTCTCCAGGGTCTGGATGCAGGTGCCTGCTCCAGGCTAGGACCCTCAGGCCAAGATCTGCCCCCTCCATCTGGGGATCAGGAGGGGCTGGGTGGATTTAGCCTTTTTCCTGGTTGGCTGAGGTTCCTTTGTCAGCGGTCTGGAAAGAGAGGAAGGGAGGCTGGGGGTTTAGGAGGTGTCTGGTTCTAATACCCAGTTGAGAACAGCTGCCAGGGGAAGGATGCTATTGTAGGGTCCAGTGAGGGAGCCCAGCTGAAGCCCCTGCCCTGGGCTCTTGGCTAAGGCCTGTGTTTGTGGTTCATAGGGGGAAGGGGAGGGCAGGCTGCCCTGCACAAGCGCACCCATCTAAGCGGGCATGTGCCTGCCAAGGCTGGCAGCACCCTGGGCTCTGACAATATGCCCTCAGAGGAAGGAGGGAGAGGTGGAGCCTTTGGAGAAAGGCCCACCCAGAGCATCATCTTTTTCTAATTGGTCCACTCGGAGAGCAAACAGACTTTTCTAATTGGTCTTCCAGAGGAACATCATTTTCCAACTGGTCCTTTTGCTACTAGCCTGTGCTCAGTTTCTCTCTGGCAGATCCAACAGAGGCCCTGGGGCCTGCAGCAGGGTGCCTGGCTGACCTAGGGGGTCACTTCCTTCCTCCTTCTGATGCTCCACCTCTGCCCCTCCCGGAGAAGGCAGACAGGACAGCCCTGTGCCCCCTACTCACCCCGCCTTTGGGGCCACTGCCATCCGCCCCTGCCAGGCTGAGGAAGGGGTTGGTCTGGGCCGTGAGGACTGGAGGTCCGCCTGCTGCTGCTACTGCTGCGGCTGCTGCTGCTGCGGCCATGAGACTCGTGTTGTTGCCGAGCGAGGGAGCCACCAGGGCCCCGGCAGGCAGCAGTGGGGGGGCGGAGGCCGCAGGCAGCAGGCCAGGGGTGCCCGCAGACAGCAGCGGGGTGGAGCTTCCCGCCAGCAGGCTGGCCATGGGCAGCTGGGAGCCCCCAGCCATCTGCAGCCGCTGCAGCTCCCGCTTCTGCTGGATCTGCTGGATCATCTGGTAGACAACAGTCTGGTGTTCCTGCAAAGGGGCCAGAATGCTCATGGGCCAGTGGTCCCCGGAGCCAGCTTGCCCTACTTGGCCCAGGCCCCGTCCCATCTCACTGGAGCCCTGAGGAAGGAGACCTGGGGACAGTCAAGGTCCTGTTTCTAACTCCCTGCTCGGGGCCTCAGTCTCCCCATCTGGATAAGAAAGTGGTTGCTGCCATCAGGGTTGGTAGACAGGCATTACAGGCCTAGTGCTGGAGGATGTTTGACATCCCTGGCTCCACCCCCTGGCTGAAGCGATTCCTCAGTCGCTATGACAACCACAAATGCCCCCAAGGGTGGGATGACCCCAAGTTGAGAAACAACTAGACTAGGTCAATAGTATTCAACTCCTCCTCTTTTTGTTTGGTTTCTTTCAAGATTTATTTTTGCTTTGAGTAGGCAAGGCGTTTTCAGTGTTCTAAAAACCAAAATGATATCCAGGTTTACCTTTAAGGAATCTTGCTGCAACCCCTGTTCCCTTCTGGCCCCTACAGGTAACCAGCTGAATTGATTTCTCGGGTTTTTAATGTTTCTTTATAGGAAAATGGTTCTGTTTTCTGGTTTTTCAGTTCCCTCCTTTTTAAAAAGAACTTTTCTCCAAAGGAAACCATCGAAGAACCCGACATACAACACAGACGTAAAAGGGGCTGCTCTGGTTGAGAGGGTGACCACCTGCTCAGCCACAGACCCTGCAGCTCCCGCTGAAGATCCTTGGGACTGGGACTGGAAATGCTCCGTCACTGGGAACTCACCCCTCAACAGGCCTTTCCCCTAGGATGTGATGCGGGGTCACTAGAGCATCCCTTCTGCTATGCCCAGGGCCGGTAAGCGACCCTTATCCTTTTTGTCCCTACATGCCCCACAGGGGCCCAGCCTGGGGCTGCCCTCCTCCTTCCACCTTCCCTCCCAATCCCTGCGGTGCCAGCCTGGGTCAGCCCTAACACGGTGAACCCCCACCTTCACCCTGCAATGCGGGAGCTGCCTGGGCAGGGAGGGCATTACCGGGGTCAGCTGTGGGGAGGCCAGGAGCTGCTGGAGCTGCTGGAGCTGCTGCTCTTGCTGCTGCAGGAGATGTCTCTGCTGCTCTGTCAGGCTGAGGCAGGGGGACAAAACACAGACCATGGGAAGGGGCGGGGCGACACTCCTCTCCCACCCAGGCCCTCCAAGTTCCCAGACTCCCTCAGACCCAGGTGGAGAAAGGCAGGGGTGTGCGGTGTTAAAGGACTACAGAGAAACAGAGTGAGCTCAGAGACCACTGGGAGGGAGACAAGTTGGACGGAAGAATTTTTCCGGACGGGAGATCAAGATTGGGGGTGCAAGAAGGAAACTGATGATTTTGTCCCTGGAGAGCTACCATCCAGAGGACACTCACATCTACCATCTAGGGAATACTTGGGGCCAAGAAGTGACTAGATTCTATACCCTGTAAGACTGAAGAATGTTCTTCCTTTTGGGGGTGGGGACTATGGGTGTTTGGGGGGGAGTCCCTCCCCAAACCAGCCTCCCCATTCCCTTCCCCAGGCTGAGCTCTCCCTCACCTGTTAAGACAACCTGGCAGCTGCAGCGTGGGGGCCCCGCCAGCCTGGCTCAAGCCCGCAGGGTTGGGGGCAGCAGCCCCATTCAACCCCCCCAGGAGCCCATTGAGGGGCAGGGCCCCGCTGCCCGCCAGCCCCCCCAACAGCCCCTCAGCCATGGGCATGGCCCCCAGCCCCGATGCCCCCGGTGCCCGGCCCAGCCCGTTCTGTGGCTGGGGCGGGAGTGGGGCCGGGGCCCCAGGCAGGGCCAGGGGCAGAGTAGCAGGGCTCTGCTGGAGCAGGGGCAGCGGTGGGGGCGTGCTGTGGAAGGACAGCGACGAGCTGCTGCGGCTGGGGCAGCCTGAGTGTGGGTCCTGGGGAGGGAGGGGGAAGGGAGGGGTCAGAGGGGCAGGGGGCCAGCATGATCTTTCTGGCCCCCGGCCCAGCACCCACCAGCATTCTCACAGAGCACAGCCACCCCCACCTCACCCAGGCAGAGCCACCCAGGGGGAAGGGGCATGGCCCAGAGATAAAGGCTAAAGATCCCAACAGTCTTCACAAATATTTACAGATCACATCCTGGGGGCCCAGTGCCCCTTGCAATCCTTGTTAATCAGGAACAGTGAGGTTGGCGGTGGACATCTAGTGAACTAGACCCCAGCCCCAGGGTTCACTGCTTGCCCTGAATTATCTAATTATTCCCATATACGGGTGAAGCCATTGATTCTTAGGCAGGCTAAGTAACTGCAGGCTGGAGAATGGCAGCTGGAGGGAAAGGCTCAGGTTCAAATTCTGTGTCCACAGTTCACTGGCTTCTCTGTCTTACTCATAACGTGGGGGCAATAGTAACACCTATTCCATAAAGTCTAAAAAACAGTGCTTTGAAAATCTCAGCATAGGACATGATTTCAGATGGCAAGTGTGCAATTAATATTCATTATTGCTATGATCACTGTTGCTCAGGTACACAAGCACCCCATTTGTTTGATTTCACTAGTAACCACAACCTAACAATAGATTGTTCCTCCCCACCTTGACCGCAAAGCACAGGAGGATTATTTGGTGCCACTTGCTATAATGAACCCTTTCCAAATAGTCTCAAAGAAGCCTTCCCTAACCACCTCCTAGCTCCAGAAGAATCCCACCCCCATTCTGCCTCACAGCCCTCAAATTATTCCCATTTTTGCACTTTTCCTGGTTTGTAATGATTATTTTCTTGGATCGCTAGTCTATCTTCAGAGGCAGGGCCCAGGCCGTTTTGCTCACTGATTGTTGAGCCAGTGCCCAGCATTAAGTAGGCACCTATAATTATCATTTAAGGAAGGAAGGAATGGATGGGTCAACCAATTGCTCAGCCAGTCACTTCACTGCCAGGCCTCCAGTAGCTGCAGCGTGGAGGCCTGGCGCTTCCGCTCTTGCTCCCCCCCACCCCCTCCTTGCCTCCCCCCGCGGCGCCCACCTCGGAAGACGTGGACAGAGAGTTGTCCAGGCCAAGGCTGTTCTTCCCTGGGGGGCTCTTGCTGGTGCTTAAGGAATCGCTGCTGCCGGCTGAGGGAGGGGAGTAGGAAAGGAGGTCAAGGGCTGCAGTCGGGGCCCTTGTCGCGCCGCCCGCCCGGCAGAGGCTCCCACTCCCGGACCAGGTGGGAGTCCCCTTACCTTGGGGAGGCAGGCCATAGGGCCCAGGGACTGGGCCGTTGGCGGCAGGAAGGGCGGCAGGCAGGGCGGGGAAGGGCACAGACAGCTGCACATTGAGAATCTGCAGCCGCTCCTTCTTGGCCGTCAGGCTCAGGATCTGCTCCTGAAGCCGCTGGTTTTCCTTCTGCAGCGCGTGCAGCGCCTTCAGCATCTCCACGACTGCAAGGAGAGGGCGAGAGCGCCTGAGCCCCGCGGGCCGGGAGAGGCGGGGCGGAGGCGGGGCGAGAGGCCCGGGGCGGGGCCTGGAGGGCGGGGCCTGGCGGAGGAAATCAGTCTGAGACCTAGAAGAGAAGGCGCCAGGCAGCAAGAGGCTCAGGTGAGCTCCGGAGAGGCGGGACCTGGGGGAGCCAGAGGTGTGAGGACTAGAGGCGGGGCCTGAGGCTCGGGGTCGAGGTGTGACCGAGAGCGTCGAGGTGGGAGGAAGTTGGAGCAGAGTAAGTTAAGGGCCAGGAGGCCGCGGGGACCGAAGGCGGGGAGCACAGGTGGCGGGTCCAGGAGTGGGGCCTAGCGAAGGTTAAAGGTAAGGCTCGGGGTAGCCCACAGTTAAGGCTGGAGCGGGGCCCAGGGGCGGAACCTTAAAAAAGTTTGGGGACCTCGCAGAGCAAGGTGACCGAGCCTGGGGGTCCTAGGGCAGGTCTCCCCGCCCGGCTCCACCCCTCCTCACTGTTGACACCGGCCTCGCCGTCGCCCTGCTTCTCCAACAGCTGCTCCATGTTCGTCGTTCCGGGGGCCGCTGGGTCTAACTGGCCGCCCCCGCAGGGTGCAGACGCTGTCTGGTCAAAGAGTGCGGGGAGGCTGCTGATGGGGGACCTGGGGTCAGAAGAGAGAACCGGGCTCAGGCTAACCTCATGGCCCCACTCCTGTCTCTCTCCCTCCCCCCTCCCCCTTCAGGGGTCCCAGTCGCCCCTTCTCGGATCCCACCCTCTCCTGGCGCCCCGCAGCCGTCCCCTCCTCCCCCTAGTGTCCCTCCAGCCCCGCTCCCAGCCCCTCCCCCAAGCCGCCGCCCCCTCCCTCACATGGAAGACAGACTCTCCTGGGGGGAGGTCCCCCGACACCGGAAGCTGCAGTCCTCCAGGTCTGGCTCTTGGAAGGAGAAGGGGAGCAGGGATCAGCGGGGGAGGGGTGCCATCGGCCTCACGGTCCCCGCCTGGGAAGTGGGTGAGGGATCTGGGACTTTACCGCAGACTCCTTGCCCCCAGGATCTCCCCCAACCCCAGGCTGGCAGTTCTAGCTCGTAAGGCTCTGGGAGCCCGGTCTTGGAAACCTCGCCCCGTGGGAGGCACAGTTATGGATCTGGTCTCTTTTCCTTTCTTTAGGCCGAGAGGCGGCCGCTGCCTAGCTTCTTTCAGAACCACCTCCCAAGTTCTTTCCTGGTGGATTCGGGGTTCTAGAAATTCAGGGCCTAGACAGTCCTGGGTTGAACTTGGACCTGACACTTCCTACATGACCTTGAAAAGGAAACTAATCTCAGTGGGACGCCTGGGTGGCTCAGCAGTTGAATGTCTGCCTTCGGCTAGGCAGGGCGTGATCCTGGAGTCCTGGGATCTAGTCCTGCATCGGGTCCCTGCATGGAGCCTGCTTCTCTCTCTGCCTGTGTCTCTGCCTCTCTTTCTCTGTGTCTCTCATGAATAAATAAAATCTTTAAAAAAACAACAACCCTATTCTCTCTGAAATGACTGTTAGAGGAGGATTAAAAATAAGGTAATAAATGTGAAGTGTCAGCTGTCCTGCAACACGTCCTAATAACTGCCACTATTCTAATTAGTCTTGTGCAATTTTTCATATCATAAACTCATAGGTTAGAGTGCAAAACCTTTTGCTGGGCCACAGAATGCCAATTTTGGTCTTGGAAAACGTAGTCACCCTGCGCTATCAGGCCATTAATTCTGGGATCGGATTCGGCCCCTTTAAGAAGGTTTACCTGGACGGGCGGGCGGGAGGTGAGCCCCGCCCCCTAGCCAAGCAGGTGGTGTCTCAGCACCAATGAGCTCTTTGGGGCTCGGTGGACTCTCCAGGGAGGGGGAGGGGCGCTTGCGATCTTCCCCCTTAACTCCGAAATATCCGGAGCGCAGCTGCCAAGCTAGTGGACTCTCTGGAGGCCCCATCCCGGGGAATAAGAGGCCAGCTGGGAACTATGCTGCAGTGACCAGAAAACTGGGCTTGGTGTCAGGACCAGAATTTGAGCTCTGGCTCTGCCTTTCTCTACTTCAACTGTTTGAGCAAATCATTAAGCCTCTTTCTTCTGTGGGATGGAGCAGTAGACATTCTGGCCGGTCCTGCTCCCACCGTCCACGGTTTTGTTTTGGTTTTGTTCTTAACGTGAACGCATACTCTGGTTTGTTGTGTGTGATTTTTTTTTTTCAGGGCAGGCAATGGCCAGAGGGAGGGGGCAGCCAGAAAGCCCTCCTATCCTTCTGGGGTGACATGCAAGTGATGGGTACCCCTTAGGTCCTTGGGAAGACAGGGGAATGGAGTCAGAAACACATACCTGTGTGGCTGCTCTCAGCTTGGGTGAGGAGGGGGTTAACGGCACCCATGGGGGTTCCAAAGATGTGGGTAGAAGGGAGGCTAAAGGTAGAGCCAGCCAGAGAAAACACCTGAGGGAAAGGAGGTATAGCCCAGCCCATGGTTATTCTTGGATCTAGGGCACAACTGTGTGTGTATGTATGTGTGTGTGTAGGGAGGGAGAGGGGGATCAGGTGTGCTGGGGAGGAGAGGACCAAGGAGAGGGAGACATTCTGGTGGCCATCAAGCCCCATCTCTCAATCTCTCCCCTGGAGAGCTGGCATTCTGGGCAGCCTGTCCCCCACCTGCCCAGGGATGGAGGAGTGCAAGGGTAAGGCCTCACCTGAGTGGTGGAGATAGAAGCAGAGGAGGAAGGGAGGGTGCTGGTGAATGGGGAGCGGCTGAGGCGGGGCAGGGCCGAGGTCCCTGGGGGCCCCAGCAGGCTGGAGGAGAGAGGGGTGCTGCAGACAGCGCGCAGCATTCCGCCACTGCCACCATGGGAGATGGGGTCCTTATTACTGGTGTAGATGCCTACAGGCACAAGAAGGACACAGAGGGAAGCTTACTGTCACTGCTCCCCCAGGCCCCTCCTCAGTCAGATGGCTGGGGCAGCCCCTCCCCAGGGAGGATACTCCTCTGGATCTGGCCACACACATCAGTCTGACCCTCTTGCTGCAAAAATGTCACTTCTTGCCTATGTGACATCTGCTTGACATGCCTGCTTATTGGACTGCCCTGCCAAGACCAGCGGGATTCCAGGGTTTTTGAATAGGTTAAGTCCCATTGGCAGTTGACTCCAATCTCTCCCACTACAACTCTGCAGAAAATGGCTATAGGGGAGTGTCTTACAGGTGACTGGCTCTTCCATCCTTTATCTCTGGCTTTGGAGCAGTTTCTATCACATTGCCCTCTGACTGCATGCTTATGCCTCTGTTCCCTCACTAGACTGGCTGGGCCCTGGATGCCCAAGGGTCACTAACCTGCCCCTAGCAGGGGGGACTCCAGGCTCAGGCTGGGAAGGCTCCCTGAAGGCCCAAAGGTGCGGGAGGCCAGACCACCCAGGCCAGAGCTGACCAGGGAACCTCCGGAGAAGGGTGAGGCAGCAGTGGCAGTAAAGCCAGCCAGCTGGGCACTGGGCAAGGAGGGAATGGTGACGCCCCCAGCCCCCTCCTTGTTCCGGCTGCCCTTAGGACGACCCGGTCCATGTCGGCTCCTCTTGCTAGCTTTGTGCTTCTTCTCCTTCAGGCCTGTCTCAGGGGTCTCCTCAGCAGGCGCAGGGGCGGCACTCAGTGTGGGCATCCGCTTGTGGGTGCCTGCTGAGGCCCCAGACCCCGAAACGTGGGGAGACTTATAGTCTCCAGGAGACGGGGCCCGGGCCCGGCCCGAGCTGGAGGTGGTGGTGGAGAAGCGCATGATGGGCCCAAAGCCAGAGAAGACCACCTTCTGCTCAAAGAGGTCTGCCTTTGGGGGCTCAGGGGCTGAGGGAGAGGGGGGGGCCGAAGGGGTGGGGGCTGCAGGCTTGGAGTACTTGTCCTCCTCTGGCTGCTCCAGCTTGGGGAATGCCGAGAAGTCAGGGGAGCTCTGCAGGGACGAGACTGCACAGAGGGAAAACTGCATTACAGCCGCCCCCCCCCCACCCTACCCCCCACTCCCAATGGCACTAGCTGGAGAGAGCTCTGGTCAGGGGGCTGGGGAAGCCTGAGTTCCTATCCCAGCTTTGGCACTGTCTCTATGTCTTGGGATGAGTGTCCTCTGCCACCCCGCTCCAGCTTCCCCACATGCAATAAAGGGGAAGAACTCCTGCTCAACTGACCTCACGGGACTGTAGAGATTACTGGAGAGATCATTAGTGTTGGTACTTTAAAAATGGCACCTCATGGTCCAAGTGCAGGGGATAATGAATACAGCTATGGCAGTAGAGGGATGGGGCCTGAGAGGGAGGGGCTGAGGGGAGGGATTTTAGAGGAGTAACTTGGTGAGGAACCCCCATCTTTAACCAATTTAAGAAGCAAATGAGATGCAAACCAGTGTGCAGAGGCCCTTGCTAGAGAAGCTCTGGAAGGCTGTCCCGCCCCCAGCTTTTTCCATGATGCCCACACTCACCTGCAGGCTGGAAGGGCCCCCCAGAGGAGGAGGAAGAGGAGGAGGAGGAAGAGGAGGAGGAGGAGGCGGAGGTGAAACTGCTCACACCTTTCCCACTGCTCAGTTTCTTCCCCTTGTGACTCAGGCTATGGCTGGAAGACTTTTTCCCCTTGGAGTCCCTGCTGCTCTCAGAGGTCTCCTGAGTGCTGGCCTCATGGTGGGAGGAGGAAGAAGCTGAGGAGGGGACCTGAGAGGAGGAGAGGGGAAGGCTCAAGGCCAGCTGCCTGGGCTCCCCGGACCTGGCCAAGGGGCAGGAGGACGCAGGGCCCCAATGCAGGAGGACACAGGGCCCTGGCTCTACCAGAAGAGCCCTAGTTTGGTTTGGGAAGCTCTTGTAGGTGGGGAGGGCAGATCAGGGAGGTGGATGGCAGGAGAGGAGAATCTGTCTGTCCTCCACCTGAGGCAGAAGAGAGTAAAAACAGTCCCTGGGCCTATACAGGTGTGCCCATCTGTTCACTCATACATTTAAGAAAGCCTTAGTGGGTCGCAGAAGGCTGGACTTGTGCTGGCTGGGACATGTGCCATTTAAGAAAGGCTTAGTGGGTCGCAGAAGGCTGGACTTGTGCTGGCTGGGACATGTGCCACGGAGAGAAACCGCTGCCCTGGCCCTGCCCTTGAGCCTGCCAGTCACCACCCCTCCCTGGGTGGGGGCAACCACCTGACTAACACCTCCTCCCCTGGCCACTCTGTGCCCTTCCTAGACAACCTGAGATTGCGGTGCCAAGCTTCTGCCTGGGAAACCTCTCATCCTTCCAAATCCAGCTTGGAAGTCCACGAGGCCACCTAGATCCCTGAGGTGGGCCCGGTCACTCTGTCCTCTAGTTCCTGAACACTGTGTCCTCACATCAGCCATGCCAACAGTTGCCACACGGTACTGCAATATCCAGTCCCATGTCTGAGGCCTCTGGCAACCCCCTAGAGGGCAGCAGGGTAGTGGCTGGAGGAGCATGGGCCCTGGAGTCAGGCAGAGCAGGCTGTGAGCCTGGTGGGCTCTGCCATCTGCTTTGTTCTGTTGTGCAGCTTCTCAACCTTGCTGAGCTGCAGTGTCCTTCCACGGCCAACTAGGCCTCTTTGGAATGTCACGAGGAGCGTAGAGCCAGATACATACATAGTGTGGGGTCAGTAATGTTGACAACTCTGATGCTGGTAGCTGCTATGAATATACTGCAGAGATTGTCCTGTGGTGGGCAAGAGCATGGGCCTTTAAGCCAGACTGCCTGCACTCAGATCTTGACTCCACCACTTGCTGGCTGTGTGCTTTTAAGGTAAATTACTTACCCTCTCTGTGCCCCGGCTTCTCATTTATTAGGGTTAATAAAATGCCTAATTCACTGGATTATTTTGAGGATTAAAAGAGCTAATCCCCACAGACCCCTTCCACCCTCCTATTCTAGAAGGGACCCTGGCATGTGGTGAGTGAGTGAGTAAGTGAGTTAAGGCTTTGTATTCCTGCCAGGGTTGGTGCTTTTCCTTTGGGTGGAGACCAGGTATTCAGTAAGAGAGTAAATGCTAGAGGAAGGATGGGTCAGGGGGAGGAGAGCCACCCTGCACTGCCCTTCTCTGGGAGGAGTCCTGTCTCTGTCTTCCTCTTTGTTCTTTTCAACAGCTGGAGTTCTGAAGGGAGCCAGATGTGGTTCTGAGCAAGGGAGGAAAGGGGCGAGGGGGCGGGGTAGCTGAAATGCTGGGGTGGGCAGAGGGGGGATGGGCAGAAGGCTCCCAGAGGTCCAAGAGGACACCTAGGCACTGGGAATTCCCATTTTCTCTGGCCCTGTTTCCACCTGCCTGCAGGCCCCAGGGAAAGGTCAGAGGGCATGAATGACAAGCTTTTCCAGGTGAGCCCTGGGAAGCAGGTGGGGACAGGGTTACTGGGACAGTTGCCATAACATCACCCTGGAAACCTGATGCCTGAGCCTCCTACTAAGATGCCCAGAGCTCTGCCAACCTCCTAAGGCGGGTGGAGGTGAACAGGGTAGTAATGGCAACAGGAAGAAGCGGTTTCTCCAGGCCCCTGTGCTCCTTCCATAGTGGGGTGTGGGGGTGTGGGCTGGAAGGAGGGGAAGGAAGGGGCTGCTCTGGCTTGGATTAGCGATTCCCTAGCCTCGGGTAGGGCCTGCTGGTTGCTCCTCCAGATGTTGCCCATTTCTGGAGACAGGCCTGACATACCAAGCCTGGGAAGGGTGGGATGAGTGGGGGGTTTCAGGGTACTGTCCATGGGTCTGCCCCCTGCCACCATGGGATTTTGGCTGGGAGATGGGCTTTGGGCAGTGCCCTGATGGGGGGAGGGGTGAGAGCCAAGAGGTCCTCTCTATCTCTGGGGAAGTGGGTCCCAGAATTTGTAGAATCAGCCTGAGTACAGTACCCGCAGACAAGAGCCAGTACTGAGGCTGTCTGTCTGGACAGAGGCAGATGTAAACATCTGGCAGCCAGCAGGCAGGGCAACACCCCTACTGCACCCCAACCAGCCTGGTAGGTCAGTGACTGGTGGGGCTGAGGAGCATAGGGTAGAATGGGGAGGTGGAGAAGGGTGGGGTAGAGAATATTGGCATTAACTTGAAGCTGCTGGGGGGTGCCCAGAGTCCCTGGCTCACTCTGAGCCTCTCCCTCCCTACCTCAGCCACTCCCTCCCCCCACACTGGTGTGCGCAGCAGTACCTTGTCAGCAGTGGGGACCACAGGTGGGGTGAGGATGCTGGGGGGTGACTCAGGCCGCTTCTTGTGCTTCTGTTTAAGGCGTTCTTTGTCCTTTCGACTCTGGGGAGGGAGAAGTAACCAGATATGGGTTGTGGGGGACTGTCTGGTTGAGGATCAACATGGAATGTGCATGCAGGCAGTAGCCCTCTCTTGGGGATGGGCTTTGTGGGCATCATCTCCCCTTCTGGACAGACTGGGAGACTTAGGCTGGACAAGAATGGCTCAGGCAGGTTGCTTTGGGAGCCAACGGCCCCTCCCCCTCATCTTCTCTGCTTATTAAAGATAGCCTGTCCCATTTTCACACCAGAGACACAGTACCACACACATGAGCACACACCTGCAAGGGTACCCACCTGGGACATGGAGCTGTGTGTGCAACTGAGATGGGAACCAGGCATGCTGTGATGTACAGTGCAAGGGGACAGAGACAACCTGGCTGACACATGGCGAGACTGTGGAGGGGTCTACAAACGTGCATGGCCAAGTGTTGAGGGCTTTGGAAACATGGTCATGTCACAGGGAAGACACGAAGGAACCACAAAGACAGCTCCAGAGAAGCCAGGCCCTCATCTTACCCTCCATAACCCCCATGTGTCACTTCCTCAGCCCCTGCTGGCCCTTAGTGGACTCTGAGGAACGGGGGGCAGGCCCCAAGGCCTCTTGGGCACCTTGTGGTGGCTTCTTGAAAGACTTATGTGTGCGTGTGCGGGGGGGGGGGGCAAGGAAAGAGAGAATACATTTACCTTCTTCTGGCCTCTTTCATGGTGAGAAGGGTGCTTCTCTTGCTGGGTGGATGGAGAGGCTGACCGGCTTCTCCTGCCAGCAATAAAACCACTGCCACCGCCCCCTGTGCTTCCTCCTCCCCCTGCTCCTCCGCCTCCCCCACTGGTATGCCGGGATGTCTTCTGGGGAAAGAAGAGAGAGGAACAGCCAAATCCTTTCACTAGGTTAGGAAAAGATTCCTGAAATGATCTGGTGGGGCCAGTCCCTCCCACCCTGCTTGTCACTCAAAGGACCTTGTGTCTTCAGTGATGCTCTGCTCAACAGAAGGCATTCTCTAGCCTTAAATCCTAGAGCTTTCCCAGCTGGCTTATCTAATGCACAGATTCAGTAACTGAGGCCCAGCAGAGCTAGAGGCATCTTGGCCCCAGCAATGTACCACTGGAGGTAGGACAAGTCTCTTCTTATCCACCTACATCTTTCCATGGCACCTCTTGGCCCATGTCAGGCAGCCCAAGCAGTCCAGTTCTGCCTCTTTCGCTGGGGTACAGGCGAGGTGGGGGCCCTCTCAGGCAATCCCTGCTCCCCCTGCACTCCACTCCATGCGCCCCTCCAGATAACTTCATTCCAGCCATCAGCCTTCTGTCTCTTGATCCTGGCCCTCCCCCTCCATCAAACACAGCGGATCCTTCTGTCCCAATGGAGTTGATGCCCTTAAAAAGGGGGAAGTAAACATGCACAACAGCAAAAACCCAAATGATCCTTGTTCTGCATCTCCTCCTCACCAGGGCCTGCCCCCTCCTTCCCTTCACTGCTGATGACTTCCCCCTGTCTGACCGTTTCACATGTCCCACACCAGTAGGTCACCCACTACCTCCCAATTGCCAAATCGAAGGACTAATTGCCAAATCTAAGCCCTTTCCAAGCCAGTTCCTCCCCAGTGGTGGGTACTGCTCCTAACTTGCCAAGCACTAGACTCTCCCCTTCACAGTCCCCCTCACACCCTGACCCAGTGTACCCTGGTGGGCACCTGAGGATTCCAGCCTTGCCTTCTATCCTTGGGACTGCCACTACCCTGCCTCTGGGGCTGACAGCCACCTAATCTGAACATCCCCACTTGGCACCTCCTATCTGCTGCACCGAGCTCTCTACCTCGTCCTAAGTTGTCAACAAACCCTGAAACCAAGGTGACTATATAATTCATGATTCAAACCAGGACACTTTTGAAAACAAAAGGGGGAACTATTAATAATTACACCAAGGTGACAGGCACATACTGGAACTATCCAGGGCAGTATAGGACATGTGCCAATCCGACAGAAGAAGCCCACCACACCCCGTTCATAGCATTCCCAGGTGCCCAAGCACTGACAGCCTGACTCCTCTGTCCCACCCTCAAATCCTCCTTCTCGGCCACCCCCACATGTAGGCCTGTCTACCTAGAAATGGTTCTAGAGTCCAGCTTTATCCCTCCAGTCCCCCCCACCCCCCACCCCTCGCAGCTGTCTCCCAGCCGCTAGCCTCAGCCCTTTGGATCCAGCTTCACATTGGCTGCCAGGGTAATCTTCCTAAAAAACAAATCTGATCATGTTACCCTCCTGCTCACAAGCCTGTGGCCTGGGGGTGAGGTCCAAGCTGCATTCCCAGGCAGGCTGCAGCCTCCCTCTCTAGGACACCTCACAGTTTCTGGAGCATGCAGGTCTCTCCACAAACAGGAAACAGAACCCCTCCACCAGCCTCTCCTTGGGCCCCAGAAGCCTAGGGCAAAAGCTGGCCTTGCTCTGGCCCTGCCTGAGCACTTTGCTCATCTCCTGCCTCATTCTCACCAAGCCCCCTATTCTGTTCCTACATTCTCTTTTTCATCTCAGGACCTGGCCCATGCCAGTCCCTTCACCTAGACAGTCCCAGCACCTGTCTTTGCTTGGCGGGTCCTCGAGGAGCTTTCAAAGCAAATCGTGTGTTCCGAACCCCACATGCCAGCTGTGGTGGAATAAGTTACACGACCTCGGTGGGTCTTAGTTTATTCGTATAAAATGGAAAATACAGTACACCTAGTTCTTAGGGTTGTGGGGAGGACCACATAAAATAACACACATAAAGAGTTTCAGAGGCTGGAGCACAGTAAACCCCACAAATGTTGGCTCTTATTGCTTCCACTTCCACTCAGCTTCAGTGCTGCTTATTCCTTGAAAACTCTCCCACACTCTGACAGGCAGGTGTCTGAGCTCTGTCTCCTGGGATGGACTGCTGGCTTTGGCCCTCATTCACCTCCCTTGGGCTGTACTTCAGCCTATTCCTTATCCAGTGGCAAAGCTCCTCAGAGCAGGGACTAGGCTCCTTCCATCTCTGTCTCCCAGCACCAGGCACCAGCCTGGTCCACAGCCCATACCCTCTAAGGCATGGCTGACTGACCCACTCACACCCTGGCAGACAAGACTCACCATTTTGCTGAAGTGGTATTTGCAGTAGCCACAGTACTTGACGTTGTCCACCTCTAGCACTTCCTCCTCACACAGCAGGCCTGCCATTTGGGCACTAACCGAAGGAGGTCATTCTGAGAAGGGCAATGGCCACAAACCAGACCAGCCCCCTTCTTCCCACCCGCCCTGGACCATAGCTAGGGTGAGGCCAAGACCATCCACAGAAACCACTGTCATCACCACCAAAGAGATAGCTGTCTGTGGCAAACCTCGGAGGGGGTTGGTACAGCTGGCCAGGAATCCTCAAGAACCCTGAAGGGGGTGTGGGTCCTCCCCACAACCCTGGGGGTCTCACCAGGTGACATGGAAAGCTTGCCGACATCCGTGGCGGTTACAGGTCATGCAGGCTCCCGAGGCCGCCTTGCTCTCCCGGCCCTGCTCCTCACAGATGTAGCACGTCTGTGGGACACAGCACAATTGTCCTCTCCTCCCTTCTACCTGAGGGATCCCTTGGCCTTCTCAACTCTCTCCTCTCCCTGTGATCCCACATCAGTGCCATCTAATCGAAGTTTCTGTGATGACGGAAATTGTCCAATATAGTAGCCATAAACCACACAGGCTACTGAACGCCTGAAATGTGGCTAGCGTGACTGAGGAATTGAACTTTAAGTTGTACTTTATTTAAATTAATTTACATAGCCACATGTAGCTGGTAGCTACTGAATTGGATAGCAGTCCCTGGATGGTGAGCCCTGTCAGGGCGGGGACTGTTGCTTTGCTTCCAGTGAGCTTATCCCCACCTCTGGGCCTTTGCTCATCTAGGTTCCTTCTGCCTGGATCTGGAACCCCATCCTCTCAAGGTGGGCCTCAGTCTACATATCTCTTTCCTTGACCACTTATCTATCGTAAGCCCCCCATGAGGTGTTCTTTATTTTAGTACCTTGTTTCTTTTCATACCACTTACCACAAACTGCATGTATTTTATTTGCCTGCTTATTGCTAGCTACAGTTTTCCCACACGGAGAACACATCTGTTTTGATATGTAACGCTGTGTGCCTGGTGCCTTGGCCCAGGTTTGGCCCATGGTAGGCATTCAGGAAAACGTGTTCAGCGGATGAATAAGCGAACCCCCCCGCTGAAGTCTACCCCTTGGCAGTACTAGTTTCCATGAGTTCCAGAGCACAAGTGTGTGTCTGTTGATGGAAGGGGCCTAGCCACCTCCTCAGTTCTCCTTTGGCTGCACAGAATCAGATTACACTGGATGAAGAGAGAGCTGGAGGGACCCAAGGATGGATGGCTGGGATGGGTGGTGTGGGCAGGGCTGGTATGGGGCAGGGCTACTGACCTTGTTGAAGCGATCATGAGGCACATACTGCAGCACAATGGGCTCCATGGTGAGCACGTTGGCAAACTGTACCTCTGGGATGTAGAGGGCGCACACCACATGGGCCCAGCCTGGGGCGGTGGGAGGCTGGCCTCAGAGCCTGAGACCTGGCCTCTCACTACCCCACACTGCACAACCCCCTCCCCCCACCATACCCTTCCCATCAGAATCCAGTGCCAGCCAGGGAAGGGAAACCCAGCCTCCATCCCCACCCTGCCCATCCCAATGTCATCCACTCCTGCCTTCCCAGACCCTGCTCAGGGAGCTTTGCTGACCTCCACAGATGAGCTCTGGGGCTCAGGGCCCCCCTCACCTCCATTATCAGTCCTCTTCAATGCCCCGTCTTTGTGTGGGCACAGCTCACACCTCTGCCAATGCAAGGGGGGGGCACAGGGATTTGGGGTGGGGGATCTGCTGAGCTGGGCCCTTCCTGAACACATTCAAAGGGCCCCTTGATGAAATAAGCTGTCTGGGGAATGGATGGGGGTATGGAAGAAACAGGATTGGCCATGAGTGATAACTGTAGGACACGAGTGATGGGGACATGAGATTCATCATAGTACCCTTTTGGCTTCTGTATGTGTTGGCAACTTTCCATAACAAAAAGTTCACACAACTAACAAACAAAATAAAAGGCCCAGTGCCAGAGGTGAGGCAGAGTGAAGGATAAGCTGAGGGAGAGATGGGTTGGTGATAGATGACAGGAAACAGGAAGTCCTGTGTGACAGTCCCACCCTAGCCTCAGCCTCTGAGTCCTCTAGTCGAACTGGGAGGAGATGCTCAGGTGTACAGGAGCAGGGAGGGAGTCTCAAACAAACTCACCACCCTGGCTGCTCGCTCCTGAGATTCACATTTCCGGCAGAACCAGGGTCCCGTTGGCACCTGGACGATGCCATAGCAAGCTGGGAAGAGGGGGAGAAAGAATCACTGAGTAAATCTGTCAGCAGTGGCTTTTCCCAGAGCAACGGGGGGCAGAGGACTTTAAGGGAGAGGGGCTGCTCCCCTATCTGGAGTGGCTCATGAGACAGCAGGACCACAAAGAACGCCTAACAGCACATGGCCAAACTTCAACCACACAACCAAGCATTCTAAGAAGTCTTGAGTCCTTGACCTTAAACTTCTAGAAGACCTCTCACCCCCACCCCACGCTCTTTCTGGACCTGTTTCCCAACTCCAGCCTGGGAACAGTCCTCATCCTCAGGAATAGAGAAAACCAGAGAGGGAGAACATTTACTATAATCAAACACGTTTTGTTGTTATGGGGGGGGGGCGTTTCTTAAAGGGCCAGTAAGGGAAGAGGTGGGGAAGGAGGGGTCCGGGGACCTCATCTTAAGCCTCTAACTATAATAGGTACAGGTCAAAAGTCAAGGCCCAACGCAGGTGCAGTGCAGGTAACCGATATGAGAGCGCAGGGAAGCCCGGACAGCAACAGCATTAAGGGTTGTCCCAGGAAGAGGGGGGGCAGCTGGCTGTGCCAGACAGGCGGGAGATGCCAGCCTGCGCCCTCGGCAAGACTCCTCAAGGAGTTAACTCCCGAACCATGTGCTGTTGGGGGAAACTCCAAACCTCCCTCTTCTCGATTCCCGGCCCCCTGCACAACCTCTCTCCCATGCGCAGCTCTTCCCGGAGGATTTTAGGAGTCCCCTCTCCCCTGGGACCCTTCTCTCCTCCCTTCCCAATTCCGCTCCTCCCAGTATCCGGAAGCGGGAGGGGGGGATGACCCCCCCTTGACCTCTCCCTCTCCGAGCCGGGACCAAAATAACCGGGCGGGAGGGGACACCTCGCAGGTAAACATTCCCCCAGCAGCCCCGACACTGGCGGTGTGGGGCGCGGAGAGTGCACTCACTGCCCCCTAGTCTGTCCCCAAACTCCCCCAACTTGGGGTGGGGGGCGCGGGACTGGAACAATAGGCAAGAAAACAATGCCTGACCCGGTCCTCCAGGACCGGGCGGGGGGAGCCCCTGACGCCTCCCTTCCCTTCAGGTGGGGTGGGGGAGGGGCGCCCGAGCCCCGGGAGGTCTCCAGAGGGCGCGGCCCGGGGCTCCCCGCGCGCGCCGCCCCCGGGGTCCCGCCGCCTCCCGCGGGCCACCCCCGTACCTTGGTGGACAGCCACGCTGCACGCGTGCCCATCACAGTAGACCAGCGGGTTCTCGGCCCAGCCCCTCTCGTCCGAACATACGCAGCAGCCTCCTACCATCTCCTTCATACTCCCATGAGCTCCCTCCGGGGCTGGGGCGGGGGGCCGGCCGGCGGGGGTCGGGGGTCAGGGGGGGAGGGAGGGAGCGGGGGGCCGCGCGCCTCCTCGCTCCCTCCTCCTCCTCCGCCGCCGCCGCCGCTTCTTTTCTTTGCCTCCTCCTTCCTCCTCCTCGGCGTCCTCCTCCTCCTCCTCCTCCTCGCTCGCTCTGTCTGGCCGCCCCCCCCGCCGTGCTCTCGCCCTCATGCCCCGACGGGCCCCCCCCCCAACAATGAGACCCGCGCGCCGGGCTCGCCCCCTCCGCGCCGCGCGCCCAGCTACCAGGGCCGCCCGGCCGCCGCACAGCCCGGGCCCGGCGGGGGAGGCGCCGAGTGGCACATCGCGGGCGCCCGCCCGCCCCGCGCCCGCCCCGCGCCGCCCGCTCACGCGCCGCCCCCCCGGCCCCCCTGCCCGGCCGCGGCAGCCATGGCCGCGCGCCTCCGCTCGCTCGCTCCCGGCCCGCCCGCCGCCCGCCGCCGGGTAAAGTCTTAGGTTCAGGGAACAAAGCCTGGCTTGGTAGGGAGCTTTTCGCTCGCTCGCTCCGCGCGTATTTTCTCTCTTTCTTTTTCTTTCGGTGGCTCTTGGTTGTTGCTCCTGAGCTCTCCCTCCGCCTTGCCCTTCCATCTCGGCCCCAGTTCCCCGATTCTCCATCCCGCTCAGCCCAGGTCTTCGTCTCTGCTCTTTAACTCCAAGGAAACTCAGAGGTGGAGATCAGAGGAAGGGGAGCAGGAACGAACGGGAGCTACGTGGGTCGCTCGCCTTTCCGCGTCTAGGGGGGCTCTTTGGGTGGCCGTTCGTGGGCTCTTTCCTCGGAGGCCCCTCTGGAGGGTAGACACTCACATGCGGATGTTTGTTCATTACACAAATATTTATTGAATGGTTACTATGTGCAGCCGCTGGGATAGAGCAGTGTAAAAAACAGGTATGGATTCCTGCCCTCAGGGAGCTTCCGATCCAGCTTACAGACCCAGACGCGCGCGCACAGGAACTCGGACCCCTCGGAGGCACACCGAGGCACCCCAGACCCACAAACTCACCCCTAGCCTCATCCAGCCACACCACTTGACTCTCCCAGAGCCGCAAACCCCAGGTTCGGCCCCGCAGGCACGCTTACAGACCCACGCCAGTTAGAGACCCACGATTGCGGAAGTGCCCGCAGACAGCAAGGTTACACTTGACCTCTAGGCGCACACACAGACACCTCACATAAACCTACACACAGCACCCGCAAAGGATTAAGCCCCTGAAACTGGGTCTTGGAAGAAGTGAGGGGAGTCAGCCCGATGGCTTTATCCCAAGACCGGCGTGGGCCTAGGGAACGCAAGCTGACCCCCCTCCCCCGCTACTTCCTAAAGGAGGGGGCGGACGCCCTCAGGGACCAAAGGTCACACTCCCTCAGCGGGAGGTGGGGTGGCGGCGGGGAGAAGGCAGCCCTACGGGCTTCACCGACACTTCAAAGACCTCGCGCCCGGAACGCTTCCTGCGGGGGAGGGGCAGAGGGAGAGGAGAGGGGAAGACAGGCAGGGGGACTTGAGGGTGGAGGGGGCCGCCCCCCCCTTCGGCGCACTGCCCCCCTGGCCGACTCTTCCGCCGGGACCGCCTCCTTTTCACCAGCACCTGTTCAACCGGAACATCAAGGGGCCGGGACCCGCCGCCACCCCTCCCTTCGCGTCTATTTAGTACCTTTCATCCGGGAAGGGGGGGTGAATCCCCGCCCAAGGTGGGGGGAGTAGGACGGGGGAGAACTTGTCCTTGACCTGGTGTTTGGCGTCATGGATTTACTCCCTAATCCCGGCGACACTGGCGTTTGGGGAGGTCGGGGAAGCTGAGCTCTGGGCAGCAGCCCTCCACCTCCCCTCACTCCTGCAGGGACCAGAGAATCCCGGAGGGCTGCCAGGACGGAGAAGCTCTGTCTAAACGGGCGCGGCGGGGAGGAGGCCCGTCTCTGCTGCTTCCGTGCCTGGGGGAGGGGGCCGAGAGCTAGGGGATTGTCGGGGCTGGCCCGAGGACCGGGATCCCTGCGAGGACTGCCAAGTGCCCGTATCTTGGTCTGCTTCGTGAACTTCGCTCATACGAAAAGTTAAGAAACAGACGAGAAGTCTCACTTAGGAGTTTCTAACGAATTACTTTTCCTAACAAGGATAAAACTTCCAGAAAATTGAACGCAAAAATGTCAGCTCCAGCCATGCACCGGTTTCGGAATATTTGAATATTTGCTTTCGGGACCGACCGCGGCTGAAGTGGCCGAAGTACAGGTTTCGCCGGACGAGGGTCACTCGAAGGCCCATTGGTCCCTGCATCCAGGGTTGGGCAACGTGGAGTCTGGGTCAGCGGAGGCTTTGTCTCCGGTTCTCATCCCGTGGGGGTGCACCCCCCGAAGATTGAGAGGTGAACGCGAGAGGATACTTGCACGTTTACTAAGTGTATTAAGAACACTGTTTCGTTTAATCCTTCCCATAGCCCTTTGGGACCGGGGTTAATATCCCATTTTATAAATAGATTAGCTGAGGTTCTAGCGGATGAAGTGACTTGCCCAAAGTCACACAGCCTGAAAGCGGCAGAGCAGGGACTTGAACCCAGCCTGTCCTCCGCTGGGGCTGGGGCTTCGCCACCACGTGTTGGCCAAATGACTGTGTTTAACTGGTATGTCCACTCATCGCGAATGTTCCCTTCCGAGGTCTGGGAAAACCCGGTGCCGCGCGGGTTGGGCTGGATTCGTGGCGGGTGCTCCGAGGGCTGAGCTGTAAAGCTCTTATTCCTGGTCTTCCACTGTTTTCCTGAGAACCTACTCTGTGCTTCAATTCACACCAAAGAGAGAAAGAGCAGGAGTCAGCCAACAAGTGGTTCGAGTTCGCCTTGCTCTGTTTGGCGTAACTGAGCACCGATTTGGGGTGTCACGCTGATCTCGGCTGTGCAGTTTTGGGCGAGTGACTTCACCTCTCAGGCTCAGCTCGTCCCTCTTAAATGGGTCGTTAACTCCCTCTGGCAAGTGCCAGAGTGAAGATCTAACGAAAATCCTTGGGGAAAGCACTAAGGCACACAGTAGGCGCTCAATCCCTGCTCTCCCCCTCTCCGCCCGCCCCTCTAAGCGTTCCGGGGCAGCGCGTTCCCGCTCCCGCTTCCCGCCTCCGGCATCCCTGCCCGACTCGCGCGTCCCGCGGCTAAGGGACTGGGGCAGAGAGGACCAAACAGAAAATTATTTCCGCCCGCTCGGCCCGCCCCGCCCCGCCCCGCCCCGCCCGTCCCCGGAGCCAGAAGGGGATTGTGGGGCCGCCGCGGCCGCCGCCGGAGCCGAGCGGGGCGGAAGCGCGCGTCGCGCTGCTGCTCGGGCCCGACCGCGCCGGCCCCCGCACCTCCCGGCCCGGGACTGCGGGCTGTGGTCGGGGCGGTCCCGGGGCCCGAGGCGGCTGCCGCCGCGCGCGTTTCCACGAAGCCTGGCTCGCTGGTTCCCAGAAGCGAGCGGGGGAGGCTGAGGAGTGTTGAGGTTTCGCTTCGGCTAGCCGGCCGGGCGCTTGGTTGCGCGGGTCCCGGGGGCTGGGGGCGCGCCCTCCGGATTAGAAAGCCCCGGGCTCCGGGGAAGAACTGCGCCGGCGCCCGCGGCTTTGCGTTTCCTTTGCGTCTCGCTTTCTCTCCCAAAAGCAAAGCTTCTGACCTTGGGGGCGTTCAGAGAGGTTAAGTCACTTTCTCTAGGTAACCCAGTCGGTAGGAGGCTTCAGGTAGTTTCCTGCCGGGTGGGAGAGCCTGGCGTGCCCGAAGAGAAAAGGGAACGCGAGGGTCAGAAGGACCTGGATTCAAGACCCAGCCTAGCCGCTTGCTGGCTGTGCTCTCCATTCCCCCGTCTCAGAATGCGGACGGTAGTCCCAACCCCAGGGGTGGTGTGAACAGTGACACTGTCAAGTGCCAGGCACGGGAAAGGGTGATTTCCCCGTCAAAGGTTATGTCCCTGCGGTGGTCTCTCCAGTAGGCCGGGCTGGGGTGCGCGGGCGGGTGGACAGGTTCTTTCCTAAGTCAGACATCCTGTGCAAGAGGGAAAGAAGTTCGATTTAAAGAGGAACTGATGGGACTGAGGGGATTCCCCGGCCATTAGGAGGCCACTCGTCATGATTATTGTAAATAGTGACTCTGCACGGGTGGGACTTTTGGCTTTTCAGATCTTTCTACAGAACAGCACAGTACTTAGTGTCAAATCCTGCCTCTGCCATTAGCTAGGAGTGTGGCACAGCCTGGCTACCTCAGTTTGCCAATCTGGAACATGGGGATAATTGGATGCCCTCTTCCAATAGTCAGGGCTTTGGCAACTCCAGCCAGCCAAGATCCCAACAGGGGTTTTAAAAGTTGTGAGTGAGCCCAGGCAGTCCCCATTGATTACTTTAGGCACAAGGGACTTCTTTTAGGGGGCTAAGATGGATAGGAAAGGAAGAAGTTCATGGGGTGAAGCAGCCATCTGGAATCTACTCCCAGCCCTGCCCCTAGCCAGCTGTGTGACCTTGGGCAAAGCACTTGCCCTCTCTGGCATTTGGTTGGGTAACCAGATCTTGAGAATCTCCTTGGAGTTAACATTTTGTGGTTGATGACTGCTCCTGGGAAGTTTCCAGGCTGAGAGATGACAGAAGGATAGTGTATTTGTCCTGCTGTGTTCCCCTTTTCCACCAGTTCCTCCTGAGGTCTAATCTTCATTCCTCCTGTTACAGTTGCCATCACGACAGAAGTTGAAAACGTTGTATTATTCAGTCTTTTAGCAGACACTCCATTGAATCATCTTAGATGGGCCGGCCATAGGAGAGACACAGCATCCAGGATGGTCGGAGTGACAGACATATAGAGAAATAACTCCAAGGATAATAAGAGCCATGCTAGTGCTCAAAACAGTGCTAACACGGGCAGGAGGGAAGTAATTATGTTTATGGAGCCAGAGAAGGTCTCAGCTGGGACCAAGTGGGTACAGGCAGATAAGAGACAGAAGAGCATTCCAGGCAGGGTGGACAGCACGTTCAAAGGCACAGAGGTAGGAACCAGCAAAGTACTAGAGTTGTGCCTTGTGGCAGCGACAAGGTGGTATATGTGGCAGGAGAGCAGGAGGGAGGGTTAGAGGAATAGCCTTAAGGCAAACGCTAGATTAAGGGGAATTTGGATATTTTGCTAAGGGGTTTGGACTTAATCCTGAGGGCAGTGGGGAGTCACTAAGGGCTTTTAAGAGGTGCAAATGTTGGTTGTCAAGTTTGGGGTTGGTCAGTGTTGGGAGAGGCTAGAGGTTGGGAGATTGGTTAGGATAGCAATTCTCAACCTTTAAAATGCATGGGAATCCCTGGGGGGTCTT